TTTTTCCGGATTAACCCTTTTATCAAGGCGTGTTCCTTATGTGCAGTATAAATGTTTTAAATATCTGTTTGAAATCTTACGTGCACGTGATTATTTATTCTGATTTGAAATACAATGTTTGATCTGATTTGACTACTACATGATTTACCTGATTCTGGATTTACTGAAATGTAAAGCATGATTGCCCGACTTATGATTTCTGGATACTGGTTTACGGAACTGATGATCTGTCTGAACTCTAAATTACTGTTACTACTGGTTAACGTCTGATTTTTTTTTCTTCGGGATACTCTGGGTTCTGGTATGAAGTCTCTGGCAGGTTCAGTCGCTGTTGGTAATTCCTCGGATAGGTTCAACACTGAATGGTAATTCCTTATGGACCTAAGGAGAGCCTTGGGTAGGCTCTACGACCCTGAGATTTTCTTGGGTAAGCCTTTGTGGCCCCGGGAATTGTCTTGGGTAGGCTCGCAGGCCCCAATGTACTCCCTTAGGTTATCAGTTCTAGGGATCTGCACATACCGTTCGGTTGGAAGACGATGTAGAATTTTTAAATTAAAAACTCCTATGATGTTTTAATGACTGTGATCTGTATTGGTTTTAAAAATCGTAAATGTATGTTTTTATTTCTGCACTGTTGGGACACACTGAGCCTCTAGCTCACTTTTCAAACTATTTTACCCCCTTTCAGATACTCTCGGATAGACACTAGGTATCAGACACTTAGAGGATTGGTACATTTAGTTCAAATCATTTTGTTGTAATATTCTGTCTTCCGAACTGCTTTTAATTTGGTGACATGTGCCTTATTTTTGAAGTATTTATCGTTTTATGATGTTTACTGCCTTTGCTACTCATATTTGATTTACAATGCTCCATATTTATTTCATGTTTTATTTTACCGGGTCGTTTTTAGTTTTATATTCAAGAGGTGGGTTTTGTCGTTATTTATTATACTTTCATAACTGTCATTTATAATATGATTTTAAATTATCAAATAATTTTTGGAAAAATGCCTTTGAGAATCTTTAATGTAATCCGCTAGACTTAGTCGAAACACATAGGCTGAGTCTAGGGGGTTACAATGATTTCAAAATTTAAACTTGAAAATGATTTTCTTTTGAAAGCAAAAATGGATTTTGAAAACCAAAATGAAATTTTGAAAAAGGATTTACAGATTTCAAAAATGAAAATTGAAAGTTTTGAAAAAGAAAATTTTGATTTGAAAGTTAGGCTTGAATGCTTAACAAAAGAAAAGATATCATTTTAAATAATTCATCTAGTTCAATAATGACAATATGCCCACATTTCATTATCATGGTCACAAGGAACATACTTGTCCTTTGAAGAAAGGAAAACATTTTAAAATCATACAAGTATGGATTCCAAAGGGAAGAAGGGGCAATGAAACTAACGTCAAAGGATCCAAAGCAATTTGGATACCAAAATCCAAATAAATGTCTCTTGTAGGCGTGTGGGAGCAATGTTGATGAAATTGATCATGTTCAAATGCTCTAGCCACGCTTGAAAAGGAATGGGTAGCCTCTAAGCTTAATGATTTTATTTTAGTTATTTGGTTGCTCATTTGGGTTTAAGCATGCATGAGTTTTGATTTTAAATGATTATGCATTGTTTTTAATCTCATGTATGTTGAAAAATGTTTATGATGAAAATTTTAAAATTTTAATGATTTTTCATAATTTTTGTTCATCATAATGAATTTTTGGTGAAAATTGGTTTTAAATGCAAATGATATCTCTCTAACAATTTATATCAACTTTTCAAATACTTTGATTTTATAAATTTTAAATTTTTGACCTAAAATTAAATGTTTATGCATATGATTTAAAATGTAAATGATATCTCTCTAACAATTGATATTAAAATTTCCAAATGCATAACATTTTTGGAAAGCTTTATGCACATGTACTTAATTTCAACAATTGGTATTGCATAAAGTATTTTAAATTGAATACATAGAATTTCACGTGCTACTAACATGTTTGTTAATTTTTGATGAAATTCAATTTTGATTAAGTGTCAAGATTTTAAAGCTATTTTAATGCACTTTTTGAGGGGGAGCTTTGATTTTTCAAATGAATTTTAAATGTTAAATTTACCACTTACTCTCCAAATTATTTTTGAACTTTTGAAGATGAATTATTTTTTATATAACAAAAAGGGGGAGAAATATTGGTTTGAAAAATTCAATTTCTTAATGAAAAAGGGGAGCTGAACATTTCCATATATTTTCCAACAATTGATATCTTTTTCATTAAATATTTTATTAAGGGGGAGTTTTGCCAAAAACAATTTTTCAAATGTTTTGTTATATCAAAAAGGGGGAAATTACTGAACCATGTTTTGATATAACAATTTATAACAAAATGTTTTTGGACTTGAATTGAATTTATTCAAAGTTTTCAAAAATAATTCAAAGTCCATTTAATTTGGAATTGAGCACAATTTTTTTATGAATATTATTGTATTGTATGAATAGTATTGTATTGTATGAACAATAGTATCAATACCATGAACAATAGTATCGATACCATGAATAGTATCGATGCTAAAAAATTCCAGAATGCAAAAGTACTACTGATACTACTACAATAGTATTGATACCATAAACATTAGTATCGATACCGTGAATAGTAGTATCAATACTATCAAGGCCCACAGTCTAAAATTCAAATATTACAAAAGTAGTACCGATACTCATCGAAGAAGTACATATACTACTTGTTCTAGATAGTTTTATTTTGTAGAAAATGAATCCTCAACGGGTCCAAAACATCATCAATGGCTATATACGACTTCAAACTCATTCCAACCTATAAATACAAGTTCAAGACACTTGAAGAAGGTAGATAACACCTATCTAAGCAATCAAACACAAGATAAGAGTTTTTCAATCTCATTTTATCTCTCTTGTAAATATTTTTGTTCTTGTGAGCTTAAATCTTATAAACACCTACCTTAGCAAGGTATTTTTGTTTACTTCTTTTATACTTTTGTAAAAGGGTTGGTTCTATCTTAGCCAAGCAAAAAGATAGGGAAAGATTTTAGTTTAGCCGTGAAAAACTAGGGAGTTGTAAAGGTTACTCTTTGTCCTCAAAAGAAAGAACAAATTAGTGAATTTGTTAGAAAATCCTTGGAGAGGAGCTAAGGTAGTGGATGTAGACTTGGTTGAGAATTCGAACCACTATAAATCGCAATGAAATTTTCTATCTTTCAAACTCCTTACTCCCTAAACACAAAAACCGACCCAACCCCTCTTGGCGAACCCTTTCAGTTTTTGATTCGAGCTTCCGTAAATCCCAAGAGAAACTATGGGGGAGTAACTATAAAGCTTAGTGTGTCTCTAAAGTGCAATTAAACACATACAAAGCATAATTCAAATCATATGATATAAATCATAAACCGAGTCAAGTAGATAAACAAATATTGGAAAGTTATGCAAATGCAAATGCTCATGCACCTACCAGTACTCCTGTCATACCATTCAAAGAGTGGGTTCCTCATAATCACACTATCTACAAACAAAACACACTATGTGAGTGGGGCTCACCATAAAGGTAGAGTCCACTTAATCTGAAAAAGTGGCATTCACCCCCGTCGAGTGAATGTATTGAACTTTCCTTATCAAAATTCATCCCGATATGATGTATAAATGGCACATATATTTGACATCCGATCCGATCTGAATAACACATATTCAAATAACACACACTCGAATATTATATATCTGAATTTCGATTTGATCCAAATGAGAATAAAATTTCATGATACCAGAGTCTGAACACAGCATAATTCGAATATGATAAATATCACATGTCACATAACATAATTTTCTAAATTTTAATTAATACAACAATATCACAAAACCATCATTCTCCAAACCAACTTTCAAACAACATGCTTAACCAAATTATATTTAAAGAAACACTGCATATAATAGTCAATTATAGTTACCCCAGTTGGTTTAAAGTGAGTCAGTAACGACGGAGAAGATAAAAATTCCATTTGAGTCGATATCTCCAACAAAATTACAATGTTCTTATTAAATTCTCAATGCAACGATTTTCAGAATAAAGTCACGATTAAACGATATTAGAACAATTTCTTATTCGAATGAGGGAACCGACAGTGAAAGTCTTGATTCGAATGATGACAGTCTGGTTATGCACGAAAGGGGCGATAGAAGGCATCCCACGGTGTTGTCCAGCCGCACCGGGGTGTTATCCAGCAGCACCAGGGTGTTCCCTAGCCGTACTAGGCTGTTGTCCGGTGGCTGTTAAGGAGAAGTAATGGTTTTTGGGGATCCAATAATCCGTATGGTCACGCCCAAATGGTACCTCGATGACACAATCGACCTAGAACGATCGTGGAACTATTACAAGAGAGTCTCGATTTCCATTATCGAGTCTTAAATGATGATCACACAATGATGGAACTGAATAAAAGTGAAACACAGTCGAACAGCAGTAAGTGAATGAATTTCGTCGACCTTACCTTGAAGCGAAACGACAACAACGAGAGAAAGAAGAAACTCGTGCGAGAGATGAGATAAAAATGGCATAAGAAAATAAAAAAAAGAAAATGAGAAAGCAGAGTGAGCGGTTGAATGAAAAAAAATATGAGTGATAATTCTGATATAAAGGAAATTGGGGCAATCACAACATAAAGCCTTGAACTTGTTAGGGTTTTCAAAATAGACTCCTAATATTTCTTTTTTTCGATTTGATCACTAAATTAATTTAAAGATTTAGGGAAAATTTCCCAAATCTTTGGTAATTTTGGGAAATTTTTGGGGTATTACACTCTAGTATAGTAGACACACTAAAGTGAGGTCACCATCTCACTAGTTGTTATCTCGCTCGTTCTCTTACTTAGAATGTTATGCAAGGGTTTATCATCATGTTGTTTTTGATAATTTATTTAAGCTACTATATTCTAGTCATTATTTTAAGGGAATTTTAGTCATTTCTGTGTAATACCACAAATTTTAACTAGTGGCTAAAAAGTAAGTTTTGAAAGTTTAAGGGTTAAAGTATAAATTTTGTAAAAATTTAGGGACCAAATACATAATTTAAAAAAGTTATATATTTTAGCCAATAAATAATTTTTCCTAAAACAAGGATTTTCATGGGTTCTTAGGTTAATTTATGGTTCCTAAAAATTACGATATAAAAACTCTTAACAGGAAAAATCAGAATTTATGGTTCAAAGGCTAACTTTACTCAACTTAAAACTTATACTTTTCCTATAGTTCCTTATATGGGTCATTCGAGTCTTAATCAATTTACTAACATTATACCAAAATCAAAGTAGGTTCAGGATAACCAACCATAACACCTATCTAACTTATATTTATTTATGCACTGACCAATTACCAACATGTACCCTAAATCACGTATATGGTAGTAAAATATCATCTAGATTTTTTAGCTACATTAGTCGATCATTTAACAACACTCTATCCCTCTTGAATTTCAATTCGACGTCCCATAATATCTCAGATACATGGTAAAAAGAATTACATCATAAACAGAGCTTAAACGTGAAAATCGGATCGAATAAAAAATGCTAAAAAATAGCTTAACGGGTCCAAATTTGGGGAAACAAACCATAAATATAGACTTGGATCGAGAAACCTCAAGATATGTGGTCTAAAAAAAGTCAACGGTGGTCAACGACAATTTTTCTCGACTCGACAACTCAGCTAGGCTCGATGACTCGGCTCGATGACTCGGCTCAACGAATCAACTCGATTGAGGAAAACTAGTTCACACTGGTTCAGAATACTCCCCATGTGGTAAACGAAGCCCACACGCTTGGGGAGACACGTAGGCCCGTGCAACGACCCATGGTGGTTGGACGACCACCATTTTTTTCTATAATTAAATATTAATTGATTTTGAGTCGCTTACAGTTGTTATTTCACGACAGATAGCAGCGGAGGGATAATTTTATGAAAACCTAAAACTTTCTTCACTTTACATCCCTCCACAACGGTACCGATAATAAATTCAAGGACACCAGTTTACTTCTCTCAACGTCAGGAACATCATGGTGCCAGCGGTGTAGTAAAAAGAGGTCTTATTGGTGAAGAAATGATTGTGGAACCTTTTTTTTACAAAAGTTACTTAAAAGGGAAACTTAGAAGATTGAGAAAGCTAGGGAGAAAAGGGTTTTTAAAATTGGAAAAATCTAGGTTTAGGAAGATATTTAGCTCAACATAAATAGAAATGAAAAAAATTATGCCATGGGTCCTTAAGCTTTTATTGTTCTTTGAATTTAATTAAAATTTACTTCGGTCTCCAAATTTATCTAAAATTTTAATTTAATCATCGAAATAAATTTAAGAAAAAAATTAGCCTATAAATTAGGGCATGACAACTTTACCCCCTTAAAAGAAATTTCATCCTTGAAATTTACCTAAATTAGAAAGATGTAGAAACTGAGTTCATAACTCCTTTAGGTTACTTAAACAAGGCTTGATTTATTTACTGAAACTAATGTGATCCTAACCAGCCCCATCATTTCACATATACTTCTCATAACTTGGATGTTTGCCATTGAGGGTTATAAAGGAGTTCATTCATTCTTTACTTTATTTTATATCCTTTATGCATTTTATTTGTTAATGACATTACATTCATATCTTGTTATACACTTAGAATACCATGTCATCCATACCATTCACATATATGCCATGATTACATATAATTTCTTAGGATACTATTATTATATGTTTCCATTCATCATTAATGAATTTCATATTATATGTTAGTCATGCATATATCCTATAGTTCACATGATTATGTTAAGCATATGTTGAGTTTATTATATGTTTAGTATTCATCCATTACTTTAGGTTATACGTATCATTTCTATATCATATGATTTCATTTCATACTTAGGAATGCATTATATGCTCTCTTATCTTTTATAATTAACTAATCTTGTGTGCCTTGTTTATAGGTACATTCGACCATGAGGAGGGGAGTTGAATTAATCTATAAGATGAAGCTTAGAGCTAGTCAAATCAATCTAAGAAAACTCTATGGAAGCTCACGGTCAAAGCTAGGAAGAGTTGTTCCCAGTATTTGAGATCATAAGCTGCCAAACACTTCATCATGACTCTATGCACCTATCTCCAGCTCACCTTTAGCTTAGTTATCTTACAACCTACCTTTTTATGAAGGGTTACCTCCAAGCATTATGACCTTTTATCAAGGTGATTGTTCGTGAAGAGTCTCCACTTCAAGAAGTACAACTTTGGTGAAGAGTTTTTTTTTTCTTAAAAGATGCCTAAATCATGAAGAGACGTGAAGGAAGCATACAAGGGGTTGTACAAATTCGGCCTAGGCATTCAAATGGCTTGAAAATCGAACCAACACATTATTATTCTTCCAAGGACATGTTCATTCATCCTTAGGGCCGAACCAACTCCTTTCCATTCGTCCAAGAGCATGTATTTTCACTTAAAGGCATGTATTTTCATTAAATCATATATTTTCAAAGGCTTCCATGCTTATTCATCCAAAACCCTTTGAAAACTATACATAGCCAAGGCATTTGGCTTTGTAAACACACAATTTATTTATTAATCAAATTACTCTTTATGAGGTTTTCTCTCTTTCGAGTTCTTGTTAGAACTATATCAACTTATAAAGTATTTTATACTTATGGCATCACCTTTATATCTTTGTAACCTTGATACTTGTGGTTCATATCTCTATTATAGATAATGGGTCTAAGTCCAATTATACAACCCCTTAAAGAAGCATATAAAGTATGGGTCTATATTCTTTAACATAGGTTCTTCTTTGAGACTTCTTTAAGATACTATCTTCAGTTCCATCACCATTGCCAAGCATCATCTTCATCACTATCAGAGGCCATATTGAAGACATTCAACATATCATCATTTTCATCTTAGTCTTTCGTAGCCAACTTTTATTTCATCTTATCCTTATCATATTCCATATATTTCTTTTATTACTTGTTATTACATCATTCTAACTTAAACTTTTCTTATTTGTATCCCAAGCTTTCAAAGTGGGAATAACACTTATTGTTCGTCCTAGATCGGGAAACAATAAAGGTATCCCATTCTTCTTCATCCTTGGAGGAGTGTGGACGGTCCTTTATCAAAACCTTATCCATCAGAATGCATTTACTTATAATTACATCATTCTAACTTAAATTTTTCTTATTTACAACCCAAGTTTTCAAAGTGGGAACAAAACTTATTGTTTATCCTAGATTGGGAAACAATCAAGGCATTACATCCTTCTTCATTGTTGGAGGAGTGTGGACGATCCTTTATCAAGTAGAATCAGATCTTTTGTGGATCAACAAAGAAATACCCATTGAAAGCATTGCAACAAGAAAAAAGAAAACAAACAAAAAAAGAAGTTCAAAGACAAAAAGAAAGAAGGCTTGAGTTAGTTCTTTCAAGAACATAACAAGAGATATTTGAGTGGTAAAAGGCTTTAGCGAAGTGAGATCAGAAGAGGACAAAGAAAGAGCCATTAAAAGTCCTAGAGCGCAAACATAAGTGAAGAGTGACATATATTATTTTCTTTGGAGTGTTTTTTGAGGCTTTGTGAGAGCATTATTGGTAAGGTCCTTTCACACATTTTCTTTCTTTATTTTCACTAACAATATCTTCTATCTTTCAAAGAAATAGAGTATGAACAATAATGAAGTAATGCATTTCACACTCGCTTCTATAAAAATTGTAAAGTGTGTTTTGTGACTATTAATAGTGGGAGTTGTAAAAATCTTACAAGCACATACATGGTAGAGAAATCGAGCCTCAGGACAACTAAACATCCAAGTCCCTATGAATTGCAATGGTTACATAATGTGGTAGAAGTAAAGGTCACCACACAAGTTATTGTTCCATTCTCCAAAGGAAGATACAAAGATGAATTACTTTGTGATGTGGTGCCCATGAGTGCAAGTCATCTTCTACTTGGGTATCCATGGCAATATGACAAGCGAGAAACACGTAATAATTTCACCAACTTTTTTTTCCAACACGACGGAAGGAATATCAAATTGGTTCCTTGAGTCTAAATGAAGTTAATGAGTTCCAAGTTGTTCTCAAATCAAGCTATAGGCATGGAAAAAATCTAAAAAAGAAGAAGCAATGAAAGAGAAAGCTAAAGAAGATGCAAGGGAGAAAAAACATTTGGAGTAAATTTTGAATGAAGAAAAACACTTTGAAGTTTAACAAACCATTTGAGTTGAAAATAAAAATGAGGAAATGGATATGAAGAATGTTGAGTTGAAATGAGAAAGTTGAAAATAAAAAAAGTGAAGAAGTTGAAAATGAGTATGGGGAAGAAAAGAAGAGTGAAAAACAAATTTTATCTAACCCTACTCTTTCTTCTATTCTTTCTTTTGTTTTACAGGACAAACGAGGAGGCATATCCTTTCAAATTGATAAATCAAGCAACATACCTTTTGAAGAACCAAGGGGCGTGACACTTGTAATCACACAATACATATCACTTGAAGTTAAAAAGGTTATGATTCTTGAAGTTCAAAAGGATACATCACTTAAAGTGCTAAAAGTTGTGTTAATTGACCTTCCAAATACATTGCCAATCCTAAAGGAAATAAATCAACCAATGTTAATCAAACCTCCACCCTGGTTTGCTGTTTTCATTCATTTTGTTTATAGTTTCTCATTTTCTAAATTTGGTTTATTTTACAGCAATTCGATTCACGTATATGGTGTTATCCTATCAACCTATAATGACAAGTTTCCTTTTTATTTCAAGATTGATTCGTGCATCGAAGTCAAACATTTCAAGAGTATGAAGCGGGCATTGTCTACCTACTCAAAGGCCATCATTTGGAAAGGCACAAAGCTTAAAGGAGTTGATGTTACCTGGCAACTTGAAGAAATTCAAAATCTTTACATCAACAATCATGTCGAATCAAGCGAAGAGATACATGCCTCATCTAACCAACGCGATGTTCCTAAAGGATTAATTAAAGGGCAAGTCTTATTTCCAAAAGACATGAACTAAATAGATGCCTCAATGGAATTCTTCCTTTTCCATCAAATGTGTTGTTTTGAGCAAGGAAGATGTTCAAAAGGTTGAAGAAAGAAGTATGGACTTATCCATTCCTACACTAAAGAAGAAAAAAATGGCGAGGAGATTCAATTTTAGGACAAATCACCAAAAAGAATGAGGGATGATATGATTCTAATAAGCCCCATCATTTCACATATACTTTTCAAAACTTATACGTTTTCCATGGAGGGTTATAAGGGAGCTTATTCATTCTTTATTTTATATCCTTTATGCATTTTATTTGTTCATGACATTGCATTCATATCTTGTTATGCATTTAGAATATCATGTCATCCATACCATTCACGTATATGACATGATTGCATAACATTTCTTATGATACTATTATTATATGTTTCTGTTCATCATTTATGAATGCCATATTATATGTTAGTTATGCATATATCCTATAGTCCATATGATTATGTTAAACATATGTTGAGTTTATTATATGTTTAGTATGCATCCATTACTTTATGTTATACATATAATTTCTATATCATATGATTGCATTTCATACTTAGGAATGCATTATAAGCTCATTTATCTTTTATAATTAATTAATCTTGTGTTCTTTGTGTATAGGTACATTCGACCATGGGGAGGGGAGCTAAATTAAGCTATAAGATGAAGCTCAAAGCTAGTAGAATCAATCTAGGAAAACTCTATGGAAGATTGCGGTCAAAGATAAGAAAAGTTGTCAGCTGCACTTGAGCTCATAATAGTTGGATTGAGCTGAAGATTTGAGCTAGCTAGAATACTCAAATCAGCTGAGGAGCTGAACATACGCAATCTTCCATAAAAGGACATGAATTCTACACAAAATCAATTTTTCACAGTTCGTGCCTTTTTGCGAATAGGTGTCTTTTCGGGACGTGTCCTTTCACAAGGAGCTGCCAAACACTTCATCATAACTCTATGCACCTATGTCCAACTCATATTTAGCTCATTCATCCTACAACCTACCTTTTCATGAAAGGTTACCTCCAAGCATTATGATTTTTCATCAAGGTGATTGTTCATGAAGAGTCTCCACTTCAAGAGGTGCAACTATGGTGAAGAGTTTTTTCTCAAAAGATGCATAAATCATGAAGAGACATGAGGGAAGCATTATAAAGGTCGCACCAATTCGACCTAGGAATTAAAATGGCTTGAAAACCTAACCAACACATTCTTTTTTATCCAAGGACATGTTCATTCATCCTTAGGGCTGAACCAACTCCTTTCAATTCATCCAAGAGCATGTATTTTCACTTTGTTGAAAACATTTTGATGTTTCGATATAAAAATTAAATTAAATGAATTTTAAGATTTCACAAATGATTTTCTAAGTATATTCGATTTAATTACTCGAATATCAAATTATTACTCCAAGTCTTTCAAGATCAATTTCAAACCTTATTAAATGTGTAAAATTGTGTTTTATACTTAAACTATTTTTGAAACAATTTTCACAAAGTATTTTGAACCAAAATCAAGCCTAAAATCAATTTTTCAAAGTGATGCACCGATGCACCAATCCATGCATCGATGCACCAATTAATTTTTCAAACATCGAAGGCATTTTATGCATCGATGCACATACCATGCATCGTTGCACTCAGTGCATTTGATGCATCGATGCACAAGACCATGCATCGATGCACTCAGGCTTTTTCAAAACATCGAATGCATTTTATGCATCGATGCACTCTTAGTGCACCGATGCATTGAGAGTCCAACGATCAAAATATTTGAATTTTACACTGATGCGCCGATGCACCTAGGGTATGCATCGATGCACTGACGCTCCCAACTGCATTAATTAATTGTTTTCACACTTAAACGACTCTATTGACTCCACTAATCATCCCCAACGTTCAGAATCATTTGAAGGTGCATTTAAACAAGCTTAGAAGCCATTGATCAATAACAAGAAACAACAATCAACAAGAATCAAGAGAGAATCAAAGAGAAAGCATCAAACCTCAAGTTTGAGCATTTCAAGCCTATTTTTCATTCAATATTCATTTTTCTTTCAAGAACACTACTTGTACTCAATTGTATTCATTTTTTAGTGTTCTTTTCTTTGTTCTAGAATTGTACAAACAATCTACCTTGTGAGGATTTCCTTGTAAGTTTGCAAATTTGTAATCTTCTCTTTGGGAGAGAGTGTTCTCAAGAATTTAGGGTATAATTCTTGAGGGATTTGTAAGGTTACTCTTTGTCCTCAAAAGAAAGACAAATTAGTGAATTTTTGGAAAATCCTTAGTGTGGATAGCTAAGGTAGTGGACGTAGACTTTGGTTGAGAAAGTCGAACCACTCTAAATCGCTGCGCAATTACTTTCAATTTTCTGCATAGCTTCCACCAAAATTTTTATTTGCCAATTCACCCCCTCTTGGCCATATTTTGTTGATCAATTAACTCAATAATTGGTATCAGAGCCTAACTCATTTGAGGGTTTAATCACCTCTTGAGTCGATTCGGGAAGAGTTACATCGATAATCAAAGTCATTAATGGCCTCCACT